AATAGAGTATCTAATAACTATATAATCATCCACTTTCAACAATATATATAAATTAAAATTACCGCAATAAATAGGTATATATGCCACATGGAACGTTGTGAACACACTAACCGATATTTACAATTTTATCTTATTTGGGTAAATTTTACAGACGAGTTTGATAATTTTCCTCTGCACAAAAACTATTGCTATAATAATCGTTTTAAACTTATTATAACTGATAGTAAATAATATAAAAGATAAAATTTGGTAGAAAAAGGTTGTAATGATACTACTATAGTACTATATAGTAATATCTATACTACCTAGTACCTATCTATAGTGTTATTACTATCTAAAGTCGAGACAATTCAATTAAAAAAAAAAGAGTGATCAAGTAGGTAGGTATCTCTCTGCTATACGATAAATTATAATTTGGAACCTACTAAAAATACAATTTAAAAATATTTTATAAAACTAAAAAACTGATGTTATATGTATACATAGGTGCTGTTGTATGGATCACTATTATATATAGGAGTGCTAAAATTTGAATCCAATGATAGGTAGGTATCATTGTAATCGAAAAACGATTCTGAACGGAGATAAAATGTCAGTCTAGAATATATTATATTATATAATATTTAATTATTATTATTTAATTTAATATAATATATTTTCAACTTTTTGCTATTACACAAATTTTTTTATAAATTATAACTTTAAAATAATTTGCAAATATTCATGATTTTGATGAATTTTTTGTCATTATTTGAACTTAAAACGCTAATAAAAAAAAATTGTGTCTATGTATTCTTGTAATTTTTGAATATTTATAAAAAAAAATATAAACAAAAACGAATATTTCAAATGCCTATAAATAGGAGCATTAAAATAAGTGAAATATTTTTACACTTTTTTTACAATAACACTGCATGTAACACAGCTTAATTATAATATAATATATATTGACATATATTCATAAATATAAATATTTTTAAAATAAAATCATGTAAAGAAAATGCCAATCTACCCTAACTGGTGAAATTTTCAAGTATCTATACTTATACTTTTTAGACTTATATTTTTTGAATAATAACAAATATTATCTATTAATGTGACATATATTGATAAATAAACATAAATATAAATATTGATAATAAAATAATTTATGTATAATTTAATATTATATTTGCTTTAAGTGTTTATATCATAATTACGAACCCTATGTGGGTTCAGCGCCTCGCGCTGAATTAGATTAGGATCGGTAAAAATATGTATACATTATGCAGAGAGGTTTTGGCTCCGCCCCCCGCGCTGAAACGTACTAGGATCGGGAAATACGCCAACCGTTCGGGGTGGTGTGGGGTGGGGGTGAGGGGCCGACACCGGCGTAATCCTGTACGACTCGCCGGAGACGGATATACACGGCGGCGTTGTTGTGATTGATATATATATGTAATATTTTGACCCGTGATCGTCTTCCGAGTTTCGACGCCGGAACAGCGAGCGTAGTCGATAGGGCTGCGACGGTGAAAAGTGGAAACGCTCCGAGCGTACGGATCGGATCGTCGAGGGCCGGTAACGCGTCAGTCCCCGCATAGGGTCCCGGTGACCGACGCTGTAAGAGTGTCGCCGTCGGCAGCTAACCGGACGGATGTCGCTGCCGGAAAACCGTTTCCGGGCCACCCGCGGCTTGCGCAGCGACACGTAAATGTCGGGTGGCAGCCGGGTCTTGACCCGTTCTTGTAGGCACGTCGATGTCGATGTCGTCACCACTGACGTGTGGTGGCCAGCGGCGTCCATCGCGCGTTTTACGATTTGGACAGGAAAGTCGACGAGCGCGCGATACTCGGTGGTCCTGTTCGCTTTCGTTTTCGGCTTTGAATGAATACGACAGCCGAGGTGGCCGGGGCCGCGGCCCACCGATCGCACGTGGCCACGGGGTGTCGGTGGACGGTGTGGCCGTCTCGCGTAGTCCGTCCACGTTGGACAGTCTCGTAGCTGCAAGACGCCAACGAATGACGGGGCACGTTCGATATATATATATATATATCTTCACTGTCCATTACTATAGACTACCACAGAATCGACGGCCGCAATGAAATGTTATTTATTATTATTTTGTTCTATGATTTTTTTTTTTTTTTTAATCAGTACCAACTTGAAACACGATAGTTGAATCATTCAAATTACATATCAATCGTTTTTAATTTCGTTGGTATATATATATTACTCTCGTATTATATTTGTTTTTACATCGATTTTAAATGCGTTACAATGAAAAATTTATCGAATTTGTTTGTTATTAAAAAGCTTGAACGCGATTTAATCATCAATATCAAAATATTTCGTACACCACAATTACGTAATTAAACAATTAATTGTTTGCCGTATAAATATTAGTTATGTTGCAGACATCTAACAGTACATCTATGAAATATTTTAGTTATGACTTTAAAAATTTAAGTAAAAAATATTTTTTCTTATTTATTTGCTTTATTGTCATATGTTCGTGTAACACTTATAAGTAAGTCACCAATCTTGACAGTGGTTTTGCTACCGGATAAAATACATTTGTGTCTCATTCACGCATTACGAAAACTTAAATTAGCAAAACTAAATACTTAAAAATACAAATGATTTACTTGACCTGTTTATTCAAAAGCGGTATAATAACTAAGTGTAATCACTAATTTAAAAATGTTATGAGAGAAGTGGCTTATTGGACTTTATGTTCCAGTTGCGTAATTATTACAGTAGATAAGAGTGTCATATTTAACCTTTCCTCCTCCTCTGGCCCATTCATCACAAGAGATTTTTTTTTATAACTGACACATTAGGTTGATGTATTAAATTCCTATTAATAAAATAATAACATCATATTATATAGAAGTATCATTACTTACCATTAAAATATATTAAAAATACTACTGTATAATTGAATTCTTATGCAGGCTGCCAATAACTGGGATTTACATTAAGCATATGTTTAACTTTAAGACTGAGATTTTCCGAGATGATAAAATGATTATACTTAAAATTTATATTAAATATCAATTTATAACATGTATGTTTCAGATTAGTCTGCAGTATTGTTTATGTGATTTTAATATGTATATCATATGTCTAATAAAATACATTTAGATAATGCTAATATTAGTATGTCAAAATATTAGTGATATCAGTATATTAATATTTAATATTAGAATTTGTATATTTCATAAATCATGTAAATTAAATCAATTTATGTTAATTACGTATTAAATAAAATTTATAAATTACGGCTGGCTACTAATTCATTTTTTTGTGAGATTTTCGAGTAATGAATAAGCAATATTTTAAAAAATTGCTTATTTATGATTAACTTATTAAATTACTATTGTGACTGATGAGTTTAGCACTAATTAGAAACTGTATATTTTACATATTTTTTTTAATCATTTTTATTTAATTTAACTCTTTTTGTAAATATAAAATACGAATAGAGGGAGTTGTAGCGTTGCTCTGGTGTATTCAAGGGTTTCACTTATGTCCCCTCTTATTTGTATTATTTATTAATGATTTGCTTATTATTTTTGATTGCTTGGATTACATTTTTTTATTTTCCGAGAATGTCAAAATTATTTTCAGTTATTAAATCTCCAAATAGTGCCTTAAAATTGTTTTCAAATTTGGATAAATTTGTTGATTGGAATCGTGTTAATCGCCTACTATTAAATATAAATACGTGCAACGTTATTACGTTTTCACGTATAAATAATATTATCACATTCGATTATATGATTTATAATTATTCAATATTAATTTACTTCAATTCGAGACTTAAGGTTTTTCATCCATTTAAACATGGAATTTTTTATCTAAATTAATATTTTTATTACAAAAATCTTTAAGATTTTGGAATTTATTAAAAGACAAAACGATTAGTTTTAAAAATATCAGCGCTTTGAAAACTTTAAAATAATGTAACAAAATAACGGCCGACACAGCACTTTAGCCGCCGACGAGTTGCCGCCATCGTTCGCATCGACTTCCTTTTACCGGGATCGATCAGTTCTTATATTATTATTTACGTGCAATTTATATGTGTTATTGAGAGAACTTCTTGATAATCACAGCACATTTATATATACCTAATATCGATTGATAGTAAATATTATACTTTTATTATTTTTATTTTATAAACCGGTGTTTGGTATTATTTATATTATAATTTATAGGTCACCCTACTTGTTGAACCAACTGCCAGCTAAGAGCTCGACAGCGTATACAAATTTTTGATATGTTTTTTTGATAAAACTATTAATATCTATTTTACTATTAGTAATACAGTGGATTGAAATGATTTTTTTCGAAAACATTGTGTTTGTTATTACAATAATAATATATATATATATTTACACTAAATTATAATATTGTTATTAACTTTTGAGTTAACATTATTACGTTATTCGTTTTTGAATTACGACAAAAAATAAAAATTGTTCAGGAAATTATACGGGTGAACATATAATATCATAAAGATTTGAACTTTACTGGCAATAGACAAAAATACAATATATTGGCGTCAGTTAAAATAACAGTATGGGAAAACAATAACTTGATGTAGTACAATATTATATACCTATTGATTATATTTTCAATTTTTCAATGTTTTGGAACATTTTGAGAACTCGTTGTAATAGTGTACTATTGTAAATATAGTCTGTATTGACTGAATCAATTTTAATCACGTGCCATCGCATACAACGCATTTTTACATAACGGTATATTTTTTAACATCGGTGATCGAATATTATACTTGCATCGTTTATTATACCCTATAGGCCACTCGCTATTATACGTCGCAAATAGATAAAAACAATTACTATACTTAAACACATACGAAACGTTAATTTTTTTATTTGAGTACCTTACTATTTATAATCATTTTTCTTCTGCAACAATTTTGTTTTATGTATATTGTATTCAAAACTTGAAAGAACAAGTAAACGATGATAACATTGTTTTGATTTTAGATTTTGGCATTCACTATGTACATTTTTACGCTTGGATTTTTCTCTCGGATATGTGACTCTCGTTTTGGCGGTACATACATGACGATGCACAATTGCCAATTTTGGATTGGTTTTAACAAATAGTTTGACATTGCGAATGGTTGACGTGTTAACGTTTAGTAAATGTTCAAATGACGATTTTAATAACTGTTCTACGATAGAATTGAAAAACATGTGCAAAAAAAAAAATGGAGATTGTGTCAGTGTTGTAAATGGTTACTACGTAGAAGTTGCAGTGTGCAT